ATATACATCATTGTGCAGGTTGCAGAATGGGGGAGAATGTCCATGTGTGATGCAGAGAAGCGGCTTCTCGCCAATGCGCTATTGGATATCTCAAACGAACGGTTTGTTCTCGTCTCAGAGTCATGCATTCCACTCTTCAACTTCACAACCATCTACAACTACTTGACCCAATCAAAACACAGCTTCATGGGTGCTTTTGATGACCCTGGACCTTTTGGGCGTGGCCGCTACAACCAGAACATGGAACCTGAAGTTCCCATCACCAAATGGCGAAAAGGGTCTCAATGGTTTGAGATTAACCGGGACCTCGCAGCTACCATTGTCGAAGACACCTTGTATTACCCGAAATTCAAAGAGTTTTGCAGGCCTGCTTGCTATGTCGACGAGCATTATTTCCCGACCATGTTGACAATCGAGAAACCAGCGGTCTTGGCTAACCGGAGCTTGACATGGGTAGACTGGTCGAGAGGCGGCCCCCACCCAGCTACCTTTGGGAGATCAGACATCACAGAGAAGTTCTTTGAAAAGATCTTCAATGGAAGAGACTGCATTTACAACGGTCGCAAGACTTCCATGTGCTATCTCTTTGCAAGGAAGTTTGCTCCGAGCGCTTTGGAGCCTCTGCTTCACATTGCTCCTAAGGTTCTGGGATTTTGAGTGAGTTAGTAACGTCTCTGAACCTTTTGAAAATCATATATAGTGATCATGAAATAGATGATTATGTGGGAGATTTTACGCCGATATTATTTCATTTTGTTTGTTTTGATATTAGTTTGGAAGGAAATAGTTAGTAATGGTCTTTGAACCTCTTTAAAATCGATCTTTTAAGTGAAAAGGCAAGATGGTTAGTGATTCTGCATCCAAATGGTTATCGCTTACGCTTGGGTGGTTCGATAACGCAGAAAAATTGGACCAAAACTCGTAAATTTTCACGGACCCCGCGTTAGATTGGTATAGTTTTCTTTTGGAATATGCACTGATTCATTTTTTCAAGAATAATTATGTATCCCTTTATATGGAACAGGTTTGTTTATACGCAATTATACTTGTCTCTAATCCATTGTTTCTAAATTGTTTTGATCTAAATAAACAGACATGGTAATCTCCAGTCTGAATTCTGATTCTTGTCTCTAAAAGCCAATAATATCATTGGTTCAAACATTTCAAAGAAGTTAT